CCCATCCCAAGCATTGCATTGAACCTTTATTCTGATTTGAGTATTCAAGCCAGAAAAGCAGTAAGTTCAAATTGGGGTCACATGTCAGAGTCATCTGGTTTTCTTTCTTATCCCACTGTCCCATTACATTACTGTATTTTAATTTACTTGGTTGCAGAAAGCTGAGATGACAATAATACCAGAGAAGACTTCCTCATCCAGATAATAACATCAGCACTATAAAAGCACACTTCATTAAAAACACACACAACAATATGCTTCCAAGTGTCAGCAATGAAATAGTTGCCCAATTACGCTGGACTCATTTTCCACATTTCCCCTCTCTCAGTGGAATGCCTAATCTTCAGAAGGTGTTCATTTCCTGTCTCACCCAGCAACCACCTTCTGCATTTTTATTTTGTTGATCTCTCTTGCCTGAATTTCCATGGGGATTCCTCATTTTAAAACATGCTCTTTGCTCTCACTCCTGGACACCCCATCAGCCCTGCCGCCTGTGCCTTACATTACAACAGGCACAGACATTAATAGCTTGCCCTGGTCCTCAGGGACTGTGTGAAATAATGACTGTCCTGGCCAGAGCATCTAGAGTTAAAACTATGGACTCAAGTGTGGAGTGTCAGATTACCTAATAGCATTTGCAAAAACTGAGCATCCCTTTCACTCCTCTATTCAAGAAATATTTATTGAGTGTCTATATAATACAAAGCTCTCTGCAAGGCAATGGAGAAAGCTTAATTCTGAGCAACATGCAATTTCTATAATGAAAATATTTCAGACATGAGTAAAACAAGTAACTCCAATACACTTCCACATCACTGGGTTTTGTTAAAATGAAATGTGGGTTATGTTTAAATACACTTATTTCTGAGGTACTACCTAAAGAAAACTGTTCATGGGCTCACAAAGTACACCAATCTATAGGAAATCAAGAATCTATAAGGGAAGTTCTAGACTACAAGGAAGGGAAAGAATGTCCAGCAACCATTTTGATCCTAGAGATGACTGGGGAAGGCATTCCTGATGAGCAGAATAGCATGGATAGAGTGTCGAGGCGGGAAATAATGTGATGTGTCTGGAAAACAAGAGCTTGGCTGAAAGCATAGGCTATGGATGGAGGAGGCCTGGAAAAATACTTAAAAAACAAGAGTGGGCCAAGGCTGGGAACAGTGTGGTTTGAACATGTTCTATATTCCTTTGAAGAATAAGAGCTTCTGTACTCACTAGCCATTATTTCCTTTGAAGAATAAGAGCTTCTGTACTCACTAACCATTATTTCTGTACTCATTAGCCACTATTAATATCTATTAATTGTTTTACTTATTAATAGATATTAGACTACTGAGTAGTTGAAATAAGAGACAAGCTTTAGCCCAGTTTTTCTCTCTATACTCTGGGAAGTTCCACTTGTTCTCCACATTTATACCACTGAGAGCTGAAGTACTTCATGGCACTATTATGAAAGGACACCTAGCAACAATGGAACAGTTGAATTTTGAATATTCCTTAACCATTTCTTTTTTTTTTTAAAGATTTATTTATTTGTTCATACAGAACTGGGGTACAGGCCAGAGGCTCAGGGGCAGTGAGAGGCTTCACCAGAAACAGGGTGGGGAGCAGAACAGGTGGATCGATGAGGTACACTGCTGAGGGGAGCAGGGGGCAAGTCAGGAGAGGTCTGCCAGCCATGTGGTCACCTCTGGGGCAGACGGGAATTGAACTCATGCGTAAGCGACTTTAGATTCTCAGTGCTGTGCTTTAACCTGCTGCGCCACCAGGGCGGGCCCACCTTAACCATTTCTTAAGGCCCACCCTTCCTTTTAGTGAGAATCAGTAATAATTTATATGACTTCCTGTTATTTGTATTGCAAAATAACATATACATAATAATAATTGCAAAATTTTGTTCAGCATCTTCTATGATAAAACACTATGCTTCATTTAATCCTCAGAGTAACCTAATGACTTAGGTATTATACCAGGAAAATTGTCTCAGAGAGGACATTTCCATAGCCACTGGTAAGAGGTGACGCTGACAAGACTCAAATGATTTAAATAATTGGAAACAAAAACCAAAAACAAGTAAATTCCACCAATTTTGAGTACATTAAGGCAAGACTAGGAGAGAGAGGTACTTTGCATTGCACCTCTTAGAAACAACTGATAAATAAGATTTATAATTTTACTTTTTGAAAGATTTATTTATTTATGAAAAGAAAATTTCAATGAACATTTTTAGTGAGAACTTAAAATGGTGACTCTGTACAGTGATTTACCTTATGACACTTTTCACCTAAAGTCAAGAAAAGGGCTATTATAGTGTCATACATAGACCCATTTAAATAAACTTTTATCCCCCATACGCCTGCTGAAAAGTATTACACTTATAGTCAACAGAAATCTGGCTTGCTGTCCTCAGTGAACTAGACCAAAGTGACTTAGGCAACTTGGTGTGAGACCTCATTTTATCTTTCAATCTGCTTCTCCATTTGTAAAATGAAATAAGATAACCTAATAACAATCTGTCTTGTTTGAAAACACAGTAAGCCTGCAATTCTGCATAGACCTGAACACTCTCCTTAAATCTTCATTTCTATTCCATGGTGTATCCTGAGGTGCCCTATTAATACGGTTGGACTATAGACATTTGGGAACATTTTCAAGGGATTAAAAAAAATTTTTTTTTAACTTAGGGCACATTACTGTAATCAAACATAATGTGAAAGAACTAATAGTTTCATTAATATTAGCCATCTTGAAAAATACTTGTTTGATTCTATTTTACAGTGCACAACAACAATAAAAAAGAAAATCAAAGCATTTAGTCTACCCTTCTCCACTGCCTCAAGTCATCAACAACTCATTATTCAACGTAAAGGCTTGAGGTCTGGGTGACTAGGTACTCTAAATGCCAGCATCTGAGAAACAACCTACAATAAAATGAAGATGAAAGATTATAAGAAATACTCTAATTTATAGGATAAACAGCAGAAGAGTTGGAAATTAAAGCCACAACTCTTAGGCCTATACATGTTATGAAAACCCCCCATTTCTACAAGGAGGTCATCAGATTTAATTAGATATCATGAAAGCAAACATGCGAATTTAGTGGAAACAGCAACTATTTCTGAACTCTTTGCAAAATAAACAGAAGCTGAGAATTTTTATAGGAAAGAATCTATAATTCTTATTATAAGATGTTGTCAACAGGTATTTAAGTATGCCTGGAACACATCATAACAGAAATAAGAAGTTGGAATTATAGCAGTATGAAACTAGAATAATCTGAAATCATCCTAGTTTTCAATATAAGCTTTATGCTAATGCAATCTCAGTTACTAGTAATTATATTTCTACAGAAAAGTTGCTATTTATACCACTACAGCTGAAGGTCTTCTAATTACTTCAAGGAGACACCACTAGGAATAAAACCTCATCCATTTATTCAACAAATCTGGGTTGCCAGATTAAGATGTGGGCAGAGAGAAAATGGATACAGAATCAGTCTACTCACTGCCACTCAGCAAATTTCTTTGTCTCCTCCCTCATGGCAAAATGAAACCTAGTTATGCTAAAGGGGAAGCTCCATAAACTTTTAGATATGCCAAGGTGATTGCAAGAAATATAAAAGGCTCTACTGACACCCATTCTGTATGTATAAGCATGCACAATCAAACCAGGTACCCAGTCACAGGCAAAGAAGCATCATTAAAATGGTCCATTTCATTTCTCGCGTCTACAGGCAATGACTATGATCTGTGCTCAATACCATCTGATTTTGCATACAACGCAATTCTTTGTTCTCTAGAATTTCTGTCTTTGAAATCAGATTTAAAAAAAAAGGCAACTCGGGCTTTATTCAAGGAATGAACAAAGTACAAAAAAAATATCAAGGAAATGGAAAAAGCAGCACTACCATTTCTCTGGGTTTCAATAATTCTACTACAGAAAAATAAGATGATCACCTTTCTGAGATTTGTAAAAGCCTTGCCTTGTACAGGCCAGCAGGTTTTAAATTGCCTGCCCATTATACTACTCCCTATTTCTCTTCTGAGATTAAAACAAAACTTTCAGTTCTCTGGTGAGAACATGAGAAGCCATGATGTTCGTACTAGCTTAATTATTGTTTCACTAATCTGAATGTATTATCCAACAGATAGGTAACTCATTTAATAATGCCTGATATATTTTATTTCAAAAAATCATTTTAAAACCCACTTCTTAGTCTCAGTGAAAAGAAGAAATAGGGTGTGGGGGAAACACTGCAGCTGAACGTAACGCTGATTACATTCCTTTGTGTTTTGGGTCTAAGTCTCAAATGCAGCGAAGAGTTCAGAGTTTTCCTTCACAGAGTGCAGGTGTACAAGGAATGGTCTAGGCCTTGGTCCTGACCTATGTTTCTAACAAGCCAAAAGAAAGAACTAGATTTCTCCCCCAAGCCCCAGCAAAACCAGCTAAATAGGGGTTTGAATTCTAATATCTCACATGCCAATAGTCACTTGAGGGAGCTAATCAGAGGGCAGTGGCTGAGAATTCCTAGGCCAGTTACATTAAGTATAATTTGCCTAACGAGCCGTGCAATTCCTATTTTTCATCTCCCGTAAAGATCTGATTCCACCTAAAACCCTGTAAATTTCCATCAAAAGAAGACTATGTCTGATTTGCTCTTCCAGTGATAAGTATGTACAATCCACTGCTGTCTCTCTGATGATACTTTAACCATTTCACTCATTCACAAGTACTACATGAATATTTGCAAAGTATTTGATACTTGTTTTCACAAAGCAAATTAAACTTAAATGGGTGACTTTTGCTACTATTAACAATTTTAAGAAGTGCAGAAGCCACTAGAATTAAATGAAATGAGTACATCCTATTTAAAAGAAATGGAGGACTTTACAAGACATACAAAATTTACCAAGATCTAGACCATATTTTACATTTTTAGTATATTCCATGTCTCAAAACGGAGTTGATGTCAAAAGTATAAAAAAGATACATACTCTCTCTCCTTTTCAGTCAGTTTGTCATTGATATTATCTTTGATTGTCGATCTTGATCCCTTGTGAATTATAGGATATCTGAGGGGCACTTGTAGGAAAAAGGAAATCATGGAGACCAAGTGTGCAGTGTAACCAAGGGCAACAGCAATGCTTCCATCATCTTTTGCTGTGAATTCAAAAGCAGAGAAAAAAACAAACAACTATTTACCTTATAAATGTAGCTATGAGAGCATAATGAAGCAATTTTAAAGGAGATTTTATAAAAACTGGTAAATGCCATTTATAAAAATTATGCACTTCATACAAAACTAAACATATAAACAAACATGATGACTTGCAATTTCAACTACCATATTTGAAACTATTTATCAATAATTAATTTGACAAGATTAACATCTGATACATATGTATGGACGGATGAGTGTATAAAGACTTCTTAGTGCCTCACATATCGATTACATTCTTTCCCACCATTTTAAAGGCAGAAAAACTTCTTCAAGGGTCTATTATACAATGTGAAAGAAGTTCAAACATAATATACTATATAAGCAATATACATTTTAGTTATTAACTGCTTTATAAGCAAATATGTTGTATTGTTGTACTACTATATGATACTGTTAATTTTAAAGTTTAGTGGAACGGCATTTGGGGGGGATGTTCTCAATATTCAAAAAATAGTGTTGTGTAAATAAGTCTTTGAAGTTTGAGAGAGGAAAAGGGGGAGTATTTTAAATAGCAAAAACAAATGTTCGAAACTACATAGTTAATACAAAACTTATTTATGCAATTCAAATGCAAGCAACCATGAGAAAAATGCATAAACATAAGAATCTATCTTTTAAGAAGTCACAGAGAATTATAGTTTTAATTCACTATTTAGATTTCTTGGGCTTTTTATCAAGTGATAAATCATCACTCAGGTAAGTCAGAACTGAGACTAACAAAAGGTTTAAATTTGTCATAGGAGCAAGGAAAAAAGTAACTGCCTGGTATACAGTATTCTCAAAACACTTGAAAAAGTTCACAAAAACAAATAAAGACTCCATTCCGCCCTCTTCTCTCCTCCCACACAATAAGACTTAATGGGTAACTGTATTAACTTTGACTAGAGAAAGACTACAATGACTGAAATAACCTTGGCGTGCATATTTCTTGACTTCTAAAGATACGTTTAAAGGTGGTATTTTTTATATCCTTCTGTTTATAGTTATTTAAGCATTAGCTTTTATTGAAGGACAGTAACTACAGTCATCTATAGCTCAGTGAATTTATCACCCTGGAATACCATGGCAGATTATACTATAAAAATAGGTAACTTTTTGAATTCACTTTCCACTAGCAATTGACCACAGTAATTCATTTATGACAATAATTGTTTGCCAACAATTATTAAACTAGTCACCTTTCATGTTTTATTTTATTCATTTTAAAGTTCAAGAAACTAAAACTCAACAATTAACAATGATGTAGGAAAACAGATTATGAAACTAAAGCTCAAAACAGTTAAAGAATCCATCCACAGTAACAGAGCTAGTAACAGGTTGGGCTGACGATGGTGCATGTCTTTAAGCAACCTACCATACTTTTTCAGAACTTCATTACAGATTACATAACAATTTGTTAAATGACTGAGCCCAGAACATCCCAAGCATAAGACACACATGTACCATGTCAATCTCTTCAAACTTTTGTAGTAAGGGTGACAAATATAAAGTCTGAGTCTCTCGGTGACTTGAATAGAGTTCACTAGAGAACATTTCCCTCGACTCATGTTTGATGTTCTCTTAAATTGAACTGATGAAAAATTCAATAACATTCGAGTGATGACTAAGTAATGTCTGACTGAAATCATAATCATTTTTGGAGGCCACCTCTTCTTACTTCGGTCCAACCCAAGTACCTTGATTTTGAGCACCATAGCACTTGACTGAAATATTCGACTCAATAGTTTCTGGATAGTCTACCTCAGAAACTAAAATTACACTGCAATGTAAAGTCACCACATTATAATTTAATCATAGAGGAACTAGGACAAGCCTTAGGAATCACCAAGTCTGGTGTTATTTAATGTAGAGATGAGGAAAATGAGATCCAAGTGGTAAGCCAAAATAATAGACAGAGGCAAAACCATGAGCGATGGAGTAAGAGGGAGAACAGCATCTGCACCTGCCCCACTTTGTGGCCCCTGGAGTGATAGCTGGCACTGTGAATTCCAGGAGAGGTTGCTACAAGGAAAAGCGTTTATCAAATTTGAAATATCACCATTAGTAAAAGAAATGGGTCTCCATGAAATTTCTTTTGAAAAGAGAAAAGAAGAAAAAGAAGAGGACTCACAGTAATGAAGGATAACATGCTACGCTTGAACTTTATGTATGAACTTTACACTAAGCTTTTCTTTTCCTACAAGACCTGGTAAAGAAAAGCATTTGGAAACTTTCAAAAAGTAGCAACAGCACATCTCTTAATTAGCCTTCAAATGCAAACTATACATGTTAAAAAAAAAATCTATCCAGCGCTAACACCTCAAGTGTCTATATTTTTTCTATATTATTAAAGAAGTAAAGAATTATATCTGCATATTTTGAGACTATCTTCAAATATGCATTAAATGGACAAAACCAGGTCTTCTAACATCACCTCCTATCAATGATCAAACAGTTGTGCTTAGATTTAAATATAAAAAGGTATTACAAAAAGAAACCTACACACGCAAATCAAAAACCAAAAAGGTACAGCACAAACCGAAAATTGGATAATATCAAATCAACTCTGATTCCTTATTTACACTCACCACAGGACTCCTCACTCCACCTATTAAAAATTCTAGGTTGTTCCCAATGTCAGGGCATAGTGCTCAATCATAGCATCACTGTTAAACACCATGGTGTTGAATTTCCAATATTGAAGCTTTATATTAAAAAGCATTTTAAAAGGACCACGGGTGCGGCATTACAGGACCCAAGGGGATTCCAATACCCTCAAAAGGAAAACCACCTCCTAGTAGGGAAGTTACTTTCATCACCCCAAGACCACTGAATATCCAGTGGGAAAATGTGAGCTCATGTGGTTAATTATGGCTATTGCTGGCCACGAAACCTCAGATGTCACATTCTGTTGCCAATCACTTTAACTAAAAAACCAAAAGGTTTAAGGTTTCCAGCATTCCAAGATCTAAAAGGCTTTTTACCTGCCAAAGCCAAAACCTGGCTCTCTGGGGTGTGCTTTTCCAGTAAGCATTAATGACGTCCCTAACACCTAATGCAGAGCAGAGGTTTGTGTTCCTTATGCTACTCTGGAGGTTAGCAAGGTCACAGATGATAGTTTTGTTAGTGAGACACAGTTGAAGGGGTGTGGAAGGGTTCAGGGAGGAATAGGAGTAAACTGCAAGCCGCAGGTATGCGAATAAATGCTGATTAAAACAATGTGTGAAGGATCTAAAACAAAAATCTAAAACGTGTTGTTTCCTCTAAAACCTGTAGTTCCTCATAAAAATAATTTCTGATTTGTTTTGTGAATGTCAAGTTGCAGCTTTTCTGTTAACTTTCATAAGAAATTCCACAAACATAATAGCCATGACATTATAAATTAATTCAAATGTTCCTTTGATTTATAAGCTGGATAAACTATTAAATATTCAAAAGCATCCTAGTACAGTAAGTGATCTAAAAGCTCTTACCATCCTACCTTCCCAATCACTGAGGCAGCTGATTTGTTAAGGAACCAAGCACCCACTGATCCAGAAAGGACAAAATAGTTAAAACTCTAATCACTGCCACAGCATCTATGGAATGATTCCATGTTCTGAATGAGACACTGTTTGACATATGGACTCTCCTTTCCAAGAAATCATGCCTGCATAAAGGGGTACGGACATAGAAGGAAATCTGGGTCTCATTACCACAAAAGGCTCTCGTGTTATAGATTACTTAAAAAATACAGACAAACCTTTTTTTTTTTTTTTTTTAATGAAAATGTCTCAGTCAATGGAACTCAAATGAATACCCCTTCACTGGACAACTTTCTGCCATTAGGTCCAGGGCATACTTTCCCAGTAACTTACCTAATGAGAAAAGCACAATGAATATTGGACCACTGTGATGGAGTTTTCCAAACAGTATCAACCCATTCAATGTAAAAAAACTAGCCCAGCCAAAACTCATGAATATCACAGAACACCAGTGCGGGTTCCTTCACTAGCCTCTCACCAAGAATGCAGCTGCAACAGAACACTGAAACATGTCCAGAAGTTTAGAAGAGATTATTATTTAAAACAAGGAAAATACTGCATCTTGACAGGAATACTTTTTTTTTTTTTTAAAGATTTATTTATTTGTGCACACAGAACTGGAACTGGCACAGGCCAGAGATGCAGGGACAGTGAGAGGATTCACCAAAGACAGAGTGGGGAGCAGAATAGGCCAACTGATGAAGTACATTGCTGAGGGGAGCAGCAGGCTAGTCAGGAGAGGTCTGCTGCGCCATGTGGGTCACCTCCGGGGCAGGCGGAGATTGAACTCATGCGAAAGGGGCTTTAGCGTCCCAGTGCTGTGCTTTAATGGGCTGTGCACCAGGGAGGGCCCAGAATACAGAATTTTAAATCAGGTCATGCAGGAATGACTTTATCTCTGCACTGACTAGTATGGCTCTTTGGGAAATTTAACTAAGTCTCAATTTTACTGCTTTTAAAACATGTGAGTATAATTCCTTCCTCTCCCCCGCCCCAACAAAACAAAAAGAAACCTAAATCTTATAGTTGTGAGAATTAAATAAATAACATATATGATATTCCATATTATGATATTTCTACTTACTCAACCTAAAATACCCTATCTCTTTACAAAATTGAGTATTCCTATTTCTTAAATTCCTGGTATAAACTTAAAATACCTAACACCCAGGTTGTTTTAAATAAATATTTCTTGACTGGTTTGAGCCCAAGTTTAATGTCCTCAATTGAAATCTCCTAAATTTAGGAGCAATATTTTCATCATCTTTGCTTACTCTCTGAACCTGGCACAGTAGCTATTGCATAGGAGATATTCAGTAAATTTGGTATATGGAAGTGTCTTGTCTAATACAACCATACGTGCTTGATAAATTGTCTGATCCCTATGAATCATAGGGCATGAACAGGGCTTGGAGTCAAATTAAACATGCATTTGTTTTAGCTCTCACTTACTTTTTCAGCAACTATAGTAAAAACTCTTTAAGTGGCAAAAGAATAGATTCAGCATGTTAAGTATACTAAACATAGATAATAAAAGGTATGTGAAAGTTTGAAACAAAGCACTTCAAAGAAAAAGAAACAGAAGCAAGAACTTCCCAGAGTACAGTGGGGTGACAAACCACCACTGCTGACATATATACCCTTCTCTTCAAATCATTCTGCATTTAATAAGCAAGACTTTTCAAAAACCTAAGTCAACTTGTATTAGTCCTCTTCCTGAAGCCCATCAGTGATTTCCCACTCTGCTGACAAAGAAAAACAAACAAAACCCATCCTTACGCCAGCTTTCAGTCACTCCTAGTCCCTCTGAAATAAATCTTTTCGCTCACTATTCTGGTCTTTTCTGCCAGGCCCTCACTTATCTCCTTCTTCCCTTCCTCCTTGCAATTAACTCCAAATAGAATTAATTATTGAGTGCCTTCTATATGAAAAGGCTTTTCAAATGAATCTTCTTCAATCATTGTAATGAGCTGAGATGTAGCTATTACCTCATTTACAGGTGGAGAAATTGAGTTCTGAAAGAGTTCATGATTTGCCCAAATCATAAATAGATCTTTTTCTACTAAACCTTCCACCCTGAGTTTTCCAGCTATATGAAGGCCATTCCTCTATCATAACCTTTGACTCTTACAGGAATGCTCCCCCTCTCAGCTGTATCACCATTACTTACTTTCAGCCTTGAATTTTTCAGTTAATTGTTTATCCTCAAAGACCTATTTATTTAAAGTAAGTTCCTCTTACTTTCTAGAATAGCATATTATAGAACTACTAAGTAGTTCTAAATATTTACTTCCTTGTTTATTGACTGCTTTCCACAACAGTGTATGTGTTCCATGAAAGGACAGATTTGCTTTTCCTGTTATTATATCCTCAAAACCCAGCACAGTGCCTAGCACATATAGAAGCTCAATTAATATTTTTTCAATGAATGGATATACTCTAGCTCTGGAATGTGGCACAGAGGTACTCAATAGACCCATGGAATGAATAAGGAAAAAGATGTGTCATGAGCTTCAAGATATCCTGATTTTGAAATACCAAAGCACACCAGAGTGAATGACAGAGGTTGGAGGTAACTCTGTCCCATGGGAACCAGCCAGCTCTTTACCTAACATTTGGGGTCTTGAGCAAGTCACTAAATAGCTTATTTACCCATTATAAAATGAGGTTATAATACTTTCCTTATAGGTTTCCTTTGCTTGTTTTGTGAATGTCCCAATTAAAACTAGTAATGTTCTCCTTTTGAGTAACTTCTTCCCAACAGATACTATGCTAGTGATAGGAATAAACTGTAAAGTTACTTAACAGAACTGAGAAAATTGTTCAGACAGTTTTATCTTTTTTCAAAGATAAAAATATCTTTGAAAATATACCAAATAAGTAATTTTGTTTGATAAATTGGTAAAGAGAATAAAAGGAATATTTTAAAAATATTTCTCTTACAACATCTTTAATGTAAAAATTCTTTTAATTAAAAGGGAACAGAAATAACAATACAACAATTTAGCCTGTGGTAGTAAGAATGTCACAAAGCTAAATTTTTCTAATATTTTTCACCCCAGCATTTTACTTTCTAAATAAACAGTAGGACAGATTGATATTTGTTCCCAACCATATACAGATTCTTTGTGTAAACTGAACCAAAAGAATAGGGAAATTATTGGTATTCTCAAGAAATTCTGATTTCTTTTTTAAAAATATTTTTTTAAAGATATATTTATTTATACATACAGAACTAGGATACAGGCAAGAGGTGCAGGTGTGGAGGAAAGGATTCACCAGAGACAGAGTGGGGAGCAGAATAGACAGATAGGCAAAGTACACTGCTGAGGGGAGCAGCAGGCAGGTCAGGAGAGGTTTGCCACGCCATTTGGGCCACCTCTGGGGTGGGCAGGGATTGAACTCATGCTGAAGAGGCTTTAGCTTCTTAGTGCTGTGCTTTAACCCACTGTGCCGCCAGGGAGGTCCCCAAAATTCTGATTTCTTAAAGCTCAATCTATTCTGATTTTTTTTTTATTTTTTTTTTTTAAAGATTTATTTATTTGTACATACAGAACTGGGGTACAGGTCAGAGGCTCAGGGGCGGTGAGAGGCTTCACCAGAGACAGAGCGGGGCGCAGAACAGGCAGATCGACGAAGTACACTGCTGAGGGGAGCAGCGGGCGGGTCAGGAGAGGTCTGCCACGCCATGTGGTCACCTCTGGGGCAGGCGGGGATCGAACTCATGTGGAAATGGCTTAAGCTTCTCAGTGCAGTGCTTTAACCCGCTGCGCCATCAGGGAGGGCCCTCTATTCTGATTCTTTTAAAGCCCATATGAAAACTATTTGCTGTTAAATTTCAAATATATAGGATTAAATAAATTTTCTCTGTATGATTAAACCTAATATTCTCTTAAGTGCCTCATGGGCAATATTTATGTATATATATATATATACATTTAGAATTGGGGTGGGACAGGAGGTCCAAATCCTTCTGGATTAAGAGCTAGGCAACCAAAATTTCAAATATCTCTTATTTTCCCCCTGCAACATACCCATAAATTAAATACATTAAGTCTTATAAGTAAAAAAGAAATAAAATACCTTGGAAGTCTTCAGAATTGGGCAACCTAACACCACATACAAAGTAATCCTTATGGTCATTCTGTGAATATAACCAAAGAATGATCTTAATTATTTTTACTTATGAAGCAAATAAATTCTAAACCAAATCTTAAAGAATGCCTCCCAATGTTAACTCAAAGACAATACTGTCCTAGAATCAAATTTATCATAATTATTGAAGATGAATTATGAGTACATGATGATACATTATACTATTCTCTCAAGAGTCACATATTTGAAATTTTGACTAAACATTTAAAGCATCATGTCGAAGTAAAAAGTCATGTAAATTTTTATCATAAAACTGTTCTCAAATTCATAGCTATAAGTGAAAAATACAAAGTGGAATCAACAAGATATACAAGCAGCCAAAAAATCCTATTACTTAGCAGATTTGATTTTCTTAAAAAGAATCCTAGTCAATCTATTTTCTACTGAAATGTTACTGTTTACATTACTCTAAGAAGTTAGATTAAAAAATTAAACATCCTGACAGGAATATCCTCAGAGATATCAATAATTATATTTTTCAAGAAGTGCACAGATGTCAGGAAAGTTGAGCAAAAAGATTCCAAAGAAACAAGAAATAATCTGATATTATTTCCAATGAAGATGAGTGCATGCCACCATCAAACTGACATAAAAATCGAATGGTGGAACCTACGGACAACTAAATCTAAATTTATTTTACTTTCTGAGTGAATCATAACAGTATATGATTAAGATTAAAGAAATGAGAATTTTCCACTCAGGAAATTTTGAATGGCAATCACCTTCTGAAAAAAGAAAACTTTTTAAAGAAAATTTGAAACTTACCAAATCAATAGGATAAATGTAGGAGAGCTCAGAGAGTAATTGCCTGCAACGAATTGTCAACTGTGCATTAGTCTTCAGAAAGAGTTCTCTGTAGAGGAAAGAAAAAAAAGCACATTTGTTTAAAAATACATACTTGCACACCTTGCAACATTTATTTCCACACAACTGATACAGAATAAAATTAAATGGTTTGTAGAAGGCCACAGAAGAAAGGAGAGACAAAAATAATAGCTGACACTAGCCTTTGACCCAGCTCTGAATACTGCCAACAAGCGAAACTACACACAGCGCTGTATTAATACAAAAGCAGCGCTGTATTAATACAAAAGCTTTATTGAATTCTTATAACAACTCAAATAGGTTGATATTATTATACCCATTCTACAAACAAGGAAACAAGATTTTAAAAGGCTTGTTATGCTAAACAAGGTCTCTTCTAATCTGAGACCAATTTGATTTCAGGAAATAGTACTTCCTCAAAAAAGCATTCTGTTTTCACCTTAAAAAAAATAACCTGCTGCCAAGTTAGAAAAATATTAAGAATAAAAAGAGGTGAGCAAAAAGCTGGAATATGATATTATGCAGCTTCTGCCTTGAACTACTTCAGAAATATGATCAAAAGAACACCACCATAAAGCAAATTATCAGCTGAACTGTATTTACAATTTAAGAAAAAAAGATAATTGAAGAGAACTGTTGATCAAAATCTAACATAAAAATTAGTACTATAATGTATTCCTGCTTTCTTTGTGAGCTAGATAAATAAAGAGTAACTTTCAGCACTTTGCTTTCCTATCTGCAAATAAAGAGGACTAGACTAGATGATCTTCTAAATTCTTTCCAAGCCTAACATTTGTAAATCCTCAATTGCTAAAATTCCTTGATCCAAAATGCAGGATGGGATGATTTTCTAAGAAAAGTGAGTGAAGATGAAGAAAAGAACACAGTTGACAACAAATTAAGTATATGCTGGTGGGGGGAAACCAACATTTTTATCATTTGTTAAAGAAATATGGAGTGAAAGCTATTAGTTACAGTTGCAGTGCAATTTACTGAAGGTTATTTGAAAGTAAAACAATCAACATGAGTTTTCAAGGGAAGGAAAAAATATGGCAAAAACAATATTTTAAAAGGAAGTGGTCTGATGGCAATGTGGAAGATGAATTGGGAAAATGGAAAGACCACTGGTAAGCTCTACAAGCTGTTGAGGTAGTCCAAATGAGCTACTACTACACAGGAATAAATCTAAAGAAATTACTGGAGAGAAAACTATAAACTCTACTACATGTAGAAGACACAATGCTGTGATATTTGAAAATCAGAACAACAGCATTCAACTTGCTGATTGTGATTTTATATCAGGAGCTTTTTTAGTTACCTCTAACAGAAAATGACAGATAGTATGCAATTAGTAAATATTTTTTGAATGAATGAATGTGGCACTAAGTTAGGTGGAATATAAGTGCCAGCAGATTTTAAAGAATGTTGTATTTCCAAATTAAACACAACACGTACATAAAAATTATATTCCTTGTTTTGTATTTACCTTTTTGCAGTACATTCTTTCCTCAACTCATTTAGGGATTCCTTCTGGAGCTGAAGTTTGAGATGCTCGGTAGAAAATGCACTTCCTAGAGAGGGATTGAAATATACAATTCCAGATGTTATATGGCAGACAAGCTGTTCAGTCACAACCAAACATGCTAAGCCCAGTTCCCTGAATGTGAGGGAAATAGTTAAAAGGTAAAGTAGTGGGTACAGAGGTCTTCCAGGGTGATTAACCAGAATAAACTTCGTTATTGGTTTAATTTTTATACAAGTTCAATCTCCAGTAGGAAATCAAGAGAAGACGTCTTAAGTGTCTCTGCCTTCAGATTTCTGAACTGCTGACTAGGAAACCCTGATGGGATTTCACAATTCAGATAACTTCATTTAACGGGGGAGGGATGACTCATGAACCTTGGGTGTTAATGACAATTTATTAAAAGTTTATCATTATAACCCATATATCACTCTGTGAGGATGTTGGTAATGGGGGAGGAAAATGCATGTGGGGTGGCTTGGGGGGCATACGGAAAAATCTTCATACTATTCGCTCAATTTTGCTATGAATATAAACTGCCATAAAAAGTAATAAAGCTTTTCTTAAAGTGGTTAATTTCTATTCAACCACAAATGCTATATAACATGACTTTTATTTCTTTAAAGTATAAAAAAATGGACAGTATAAAATAGAGCAGGAAAAATTACCTTCATTGACCACTATAATATAGCTTCATAAATATAAGTCACTTTTTATGAACTTTCATCTTGCTCATAAATATAAATAGGTTAGTCACAATCATAATGTATAGGAAGTGTATATTCTGATTTTTCCATATTATGCCATAAGCATGTCTATATGTTGATACATAGTCTGTGTTGTAATATTTAATGACTATGTAAAATTCAACTCCATGGATATAAATTATATATTCCACATTTTAAATGATATGCTCTAGCTCAATCCATTACAGAATATTTAATTTCCTTTAAGTATTTGCTTTTAGTATTGTAGTGATTAATATTCATATTTACATGTCTTTTTTTTGTATTTATGTTAACTTTTAGACCTTTCATTTCCATTTCTATGATCAAGAAGTCCTTATATCAAAGAAAATCAGAATTTCTAGGCTCCTGAAAATCCAGGCCTAATAAGTTCAGAGATTCTACACAACAGAGAAACAGTCTTACATCCCCAAATTTCAAGTTCTAGATCTTATAAAGGATGTTAGTTTCATAAACTGTGATCTAATAGGAAAAGGTGCCCTGAACTCTTCTGTGAATCTATCTCCTGTAGAGAGGAAAACAAAGTAGGTTAATTAACCTAAATATATTTTGGAACACAGCATTAAATTAACCAATCTAAATAATTTTACCTACATATTTATAAGTACCCTACTATTCTCTATCAACTATATTCAATGACCAGTGAATTGGTGATTCTACCCTCAAAACAGAACTCTATTAAGGAATACCACATAATTTTCTTTAGCCCCTATTATAATTTCTACCTAAAATCTTCCTAATGATTTCAGAAGACATAGTTGACAATCTTCACCTTCTATCCTCTGTACTTTTACCAAAAGTACATGAATTCTCCCAGCAATACAGAAATTTGCCATATTATTCTTAATTCCAGATAAATTAAGTTGTCTTATTTCTATCAATGAAAGCACAATCAAGGACAAAACAGACCTGGGTTTCAAAATGCAAATGTATATACCTTCTTCAGTTCTGAAAAGCCCTCAGATATTACATAATAATAAAAAAAAATTCTCTACAAAGAAAGAAAAATTAAACTTAGAAAAGTCAAGTAGCCAGCTCACTAATCAGGCAAAATATTAACAGTAAGTAATTCTTGGGCTGAGAACATGTGTTTTCAGTATATAGTCTTGTGATAATTCTTTACATCTGAACTTATTTCCAAAATAAGTAAACAAAAGAGTAGAGCTAAACCCAGAAAAGGGTCAGTTGAGGGGCTATGATTTCCCATAGGTTTTATCAGAATTTAGACTTTTAGATAAATTGTCTAAAGTCATCTCTCCAAAACATGAGGTTAATTTTTCTGCCAAATAGTAATATACTGGTTACAGGGTGGACTCTGGAACAAAACTGCATGGAGTTGATTTAGTAAGACTCATATAGGAAAGAAGTATTTAAAGATATCTCAGAAAGTAAAACCTAAATTCCAAAACGCGTATCACAAGGAATAAAAACAGTGAAGTGATGATTTGCTCAATTTCTTTAGGGTTATGTATTACTAGCCTGAATACTACATGATTGATGACATATCCTTCTGAGGATATTAAACATAAAAGCAATGATGTTCATCTTTAAGATTATACTACATTCTTACACTCATCTAAATTTCTCCCTAGATTTAGTCTCAGTTGATATATTCTGCTTGATTTAATGTTAATCTGAAGACTGCAAACTAATAATCCAACTCCAGTACTCTTTCCATATTTATCAGTCAATACTCAGCATTCTAGAAGAGCCCTCCCTTCTTGATTAGCCCTCTATCATCAATACATATTATGCACTGCTTCCTTATTTTTCAGTGAGCAAGTTCATTACTATAGGTAATTATTTTGGTGTTCAAATGGCTCCAAATTTGGCCAGTGGAACTTTCTATAGTTTTAATCCAGTGCCCTTGTGACATGTTATCACGTTATTCAAAATACTGTTTCATTATCATTTTAATTTCTGTAGGATCTCTAGTAATGTCCCCACTCTCATTTGTGTCTTCCATTTATTTGCTCAGTCTGGGTTGAAGGTGATGATTTTTAATAATCTTCAAGAATGCCTTGATTTTATTGATATTCTCTACTAGTTTTTTCCAATTTCAATGATTTATGGAATTTGTTATTTCTTTTCTTCTGCTTGATTTGGGTTTAATTTGCTTACCTTTTCTACTTGTTAAGGTTATATGATTGTAAGCTTGTATTATTGATTGGGAACCTCTCTTTTCTAATACAAGCATCAAATGCTTTCAGTTTCCTCTCTGGTGATCTTAACATTTGAGTCATTTCTGAATATTTTTCTACTAACTTCTCTTGACCACATTGGTAATGGGGTAACGGTAGCATGAAGTTTTTGTTTTGTTTTGGCTTTTTATTTCAAAAATTCTGACTGTTGAACATCATATGCTGGACAAAAGACAAGATAAGGGTATGCCTCTTCTAATGTTAATTTGGGGAGAGCTGAGACAAAGTAACAGGAACTAAGCTGGTTTTGGGTTTTGCTGCTGCCATGACTATTTTTAGTGCACTCCATTCTTCAAATTTCCTCCAATTTTTCCTGTTGGGGGATGGTGATGGTTGCAATGGTTTGCTGTTGGCTTTTTCCTCAGTGATCCTGCTCTGCTCTTAGAATTAGGTTATTTCCTATGTACCTGCACCTAAGTAAGGGTGTCTCCTCATGCTCTTGCTTCTCCTTGTATGGTAAACTACAATGCCTTGTTATTTCATGCTTTTTAGCCTCTCTAGTGAGAAAAGTAGGGGATTTTGCTGCTGTCCTGGTTGAGCAGGAACATCCTGAGTCCTTAGGGTTCAAGTTAGGATTCTCTCATTGATGCTGCCCCTTTCCTAGGGATAGGAAAATTCTGATCATCCAGACCCAACACAGTTTTCGTCAACCAACAGTAGTGGTACTTTTCTTTTTCTTCCTTCATAAAAAACAGATTTTCACTTATACCCTCAGGACTACTGGGTTTGCAGTTCTTCCCCTCAAAGCTTAACACTTTTGTTCTTAAGGAAGAAAGATTATACTTCTCTTAAAATAGCATCCATTCACCTCCTCCAGACCTACATCATTGAAAGTGGTTTTCTAAGTTTTCTCCTTTGATTGCAATCTTTCTTACAAAACCCAGTGTAGGTTCATGTAGAATAAACTGTGTGCAGGTATGAAATGCCTTTTATCTACTACAGACTCACAGGATCCTATACTTAATAATAACAATTTTTAAAAATTGTACTTGAACTATTTTACCTTCTTATACAATGGTCCTAAATTTCTTCCATGCTCCAGCACTGATACTCAGTTCTCAGATGTGGTCACATTTAGAGATGCCTGTCTTTCCTTATATTCAGGATATTTGGTTGCCCTAATGTTTTACCTCTCTAATAGAATAGATTCAAGAAAAGTTCTAATTTTGTACAGTATTCAGCTTTCTCATGTTAAGGTGAAAATGAAGCTCCTTTTACCCATCCACACCCACAGCAGAAGTCATGGAGATGGAGGGAAAGCAAATGCATATTCAAAAACCACTTTCTGAAATGTTTTGCCCTGTTCATATATATACCAACGTTATCCGTTATAGTCTACTAAGATGGCCCGCTGTTCAGCAAGAACTCAAGTCAGTTACTTTAGTTTTAATAACCAAATGTCAATGTTGTCACCTATAAATCTAATAGCGAAAGAACATGAATCTTGCTTCTATCAACAAAACAAAATGCAGATTCTTTAGGCGAGAGAGTTTGGCCTCATTCTGGCCAATGGCCAGCTTCTGTCAAAATTAGTTAAAAACAATAAACTGCCGTTCTTCTGGGTTTTCTACATTAAGCCCAGATAAGCAAGAAGCAATATACTTTGACTATTTTACTTTCCCTCCCTGCAGAAATGCCATTTCTGTGCTATGATTTATGATGCTGCCTTTCTCAAGGGTTAATAGATATTTCTTGCTATAATTTAGCAAAATTGCAATTGACTGTATTTCATTATGATATTTAATATCTTGCACATTAGAAACTACACGCTAAATTCCTCTTGAAATTCAGTGCCAAGAGAAGATTTTTTTTCTCCCTAAAGACTGATATCTTCTATACAGCAAGCAGTGGAAAGCAAATGATATCATTCATAACTCTATACATTTGGCCTGACAACTAAGAAAGTCAGACCTAATTTTAATGTTTAAATAGAACAGGCAGATCCTACCCACTACCTAACATGTAAACTCCCTTGCCCTTGTTTCATTTTCTTAGACTCCTCTCCAGTTCAACAGAAAGGGCAAACATCTTCATTTCTGCTCTAAATTACTTCTCATTCCAATCCCATCTCATACTACTCTCTTCCTAACAAAATTATGTTTTATAATGAACTAACAAGGAACTATCAGAGAGAAAATTAAGAAAACAGAATCACTTGTAATTGCATCAGAAAGAATAAAATGCCTACAGAAATGATAAGACACTGATGAAAGAAACTGAAGACACAAAGAAATAGAAAAAGATATCTTATACCCATGGATCAGAATTAATATTGTTAGAATGTCCATTTTACTCACAGCAATCTACGGACTCAATGTAATCTGTATTGAATTCCCAATGGCATTATTCATAGAAAGACTACAAATAATTTTAAAATTTGTATGGAAACACAAGAGATCCTGAATAGCTAAAGCAATCTTGAGAAAGAGGAACAAAGCTGGGTAGTCTAAGACACCTGATTTAAAACTACATTACATGGTTACAATAATCAAAATAGAGTGGTGTCGACATTAAAACATACATATAACAATGGCACAGAATAGACAGCCCAGAAATAAACACACAAAAACACAGTCAATTAATTTAGGACAATGGTAATAAGAATACAAACTAGGGAAAAGACAGTCTCTTTAACAAATGGTGTTGGGGAAACTCAACAATCACATACAAATTCAACAATCACATACCACTCTCTTACATCACATACAGAAGTTAATTCTTGAATTCTATAAGAAAACATAGGTAATAAGCTCTTAGATACTGATCTTAATGTTTTTTTTTCTGGATTTGACTTAAAAGGGAAGAGCAATAAGAAATATATACACATGATATGATATCAAACTAAAACATTTCTGTATAGTGAAGGAAACCATCAACAAAAGGACAGCCTGAGTGGGTGAAGATAATAACAGTTATATATAAGATAAAGGTTTAATATATGATATTTAATATCATATAACTCATTTTTAAAAAAAAAAACTGGCACCGGAACTGAACATTTTCCCAAAGAAGACAAGGCCAACCTGTATATGAAATAATGCTCAATATCACTAATCATGGAGGAGATGCAAATCAAAACCACCATAAAATTAATACCTCACTCCTATCAGAATGCCTATCATCAAAAAGACAACAAGATGGTGAAGTTGTGGAGAAAATGAAATTCTCTTGCACTGTTGCTAAGAATTTATAAATTAGTACAGTTACTTTAGCAAACAGTCTGTAGATTCTTCAAGAAATTAAAAACAGAACTATCATATGATCCAACAGTTCTACTTCTGGTTATAATGGATATGGATTCTTCGTTTGTAATACACATTAAATATATACATTATACTCCTATGACTTGCTAATTCATAATTTAATAATACCTCACATGAATGTAAAATGTGTACCATTTTTCAGACTTCTCTTTTATATTTAACTGCCATATATTGTCTTTGTTTACATAAAGAAAACAAAATTAACTTGAAAAACTAAGCATTCCCATGTGCACTGCCACATTACTTACAATGGCCAGAAAATGGAAGCAACACAAGTTTTAATTGATGGTTTACTAGAGACAGTGTTACATGGAAATCTATATGGCATTTTGCAGAAACACACACACAAACAGGAATACTACTCAAATGTGAAAAACAATGAAACATTACCCGTTTGTGACAATTACCGTAGATCTTGAGGTATTATGTTAAGTCAGAAAAACAGTATAGTATGACTTCAGGTATATGGAGAATCACAAGACAAAAATAAAACTAAACTGAAATCAAAGCAACAGAAAGCAGAACAGTGGTTCATACAGGGAAGGTGGATTAGGGAGTAGCAAACAGGTGCAGGAGATCAAGAGGCATAAATATCTATTTATGAAGCAGATAAGTTAAGGCGCTATCAACAATATGGAACTGTAAATCTGAAAGCTGCTAAGAAAAGATGGTATCACAGTTGACTCATTGTGATGATCATTTCACAATGTACACAAATGTTGAATCATTGCTATATACCTGAAACTAAAACATGAACTATGAAGTCGAAGAACTTTAACAAATATCAAGACTAGTAACATGAGAGAAAATAAAACAGTAAGACAATTGCAAAAGAATAGAAAGATCTATGAAGCCAAACAGAATATCCTATGGCAAGCATGCAAGTATACAGTCACCTGACTTATGAAAAATACTGTTGCTGCAGTACAATAAAACTGTGGTTTTCAAAAAATGGTGCTGGGTCAATTGACTATGGAAAAAAATAAAGCACACCTTGACTCTTACCTTCTACATCATACTCAAAAAAATCAATTCCTGATGAATTACAGATATAAAAAGAAATAGCAAAGTGTTCAAAAACACAGGAGAACATCTGTATGACATTAAAATAGGCAATTATTTCTTAAACTGGAGACTAAAGTCTTAAATATTAAAGAGCAGACTGAAAATGGTACTTATGGTCATGTGAGGATATTACTAAAGTATGAATTAGCAAGTCACAGGAGTAAAATACATATATTTACTGCATATTTCAAAGAATCCATATTTACAATATATAAAGAATTCCTGCTTAAAAAGATTTTTCAAGCAGGTTTTTAAAAAGTGGGAGAAAGATCTCAATGCATTGCACTTCACAAAGAGAATATCCAATCAGTATAAAACATATGCAACAGTGTTCATTCGTTTTTAAAGAAATCAAACTTAAAGTTGCAAGGAGATACCCAAACATACACACCAGAGAGATTAAAAAAAAGGACAAATATCAAATGCTAAGAAAAGATGGTGTCACAATGGGCTCATTTGATGATCATTTCAGAATATATACAAATATTGAATCACTGTTGCAGGCCTGAAACTAAAAAAGAACTAAGATGAAGAAACTTAACAAATATCAAGAATAATAACAACATGAGAGAAAATAAAACAGCATAAATGGAACAACAAAGCCAGTACACTGTCAGATAGAAAGGAGAGATATAAACCAACACAATCACTTTTTGGACACAATCCAGTAAAGCTAAAGAGATATGTATTCCATGTCTACATTTCCGCTCCTAGGTTTATAGCCAACAGAAATGTACTAAAAATCATCACTGTGGCCTCCATGGAGGAACTGGGGCAAAAATCTCAGCACTATCAAGTTATCACCAGCCATTGTGACCTGAGTTCGATCCCTGGCCAGGGAGCTGACCCACAGGTGCAGCAGACTCTCCTGTCTCGCCTGCTCCTCCCCTCTGCAATGTATTTCAGTAGATCTGCTTATTCTGCTCCCCACTCGGTCTCGGGTGAATCCTCTTAACCCTTGCATCCCAGGTCTAGACCCCAGTTCTTGTATGCCTGCATGCATGAATAAATAAATAAATCTTTTTAAAAAATTATTTTCCTAGTATTTATTTTTTTATGCATACAGAACTGGGGTACAGTCAGAGGTGTTGGGGTGAGGATTCACCAGAGACAGAGTGGGGAGTAGAACAGGAAGACTGACTGAAATATACTGCTGAGAAGAACAGCAGGTAAGACAGGAGAGGTCTACCACGCCATGTGGGTCACCTCCCTGTCTGGGGATCAAACTCATACGGAGGAGGCTGCCAATAGCTTCTCAGTGCTGCACTTTAACCCGCTGTGCCACCAGGGAGGACCCAAATCAAATAAATCTTTAAAAAAAGATCACCACTAAGAAACTTGTACTAGAGCATTCACAGAAGCATTATCTGTAAGTCCCAAAATAGAAATCACTTAAAGGTCAACAATAAGAATAAATAAATTCATATTCATACAATGGAATATCTCTAGCAATATGAATGGACTAAGACTATTCACACACTGGAATGGATAAATGTTACAAACAAAATGGCAAACACAAGTCAGAACATAATTTGTACATCTATGTAACTCTACTAGTAAGTAGATCAGAATTATGTACAGCCAATGTTTGATATAGCAAATCAAGGTACAGGTTAGTCTGGCTGGAGAAATTCTGAATGGAATGGAAACTTAAAAGGTTCTGGGTTCCTGGTAACACTATTTCTCAATGCAGATTAGGTTTATGTAGATCCCATTTCATCTTACAAATGTGGGCTGTATGTGCGTGTATAATGCACACCTTTCTGTATGCAGCAATTTCAGAACATTTCAAAACAGTTCTGAAAGAAAACTACATAAGCACATTCAGAAAAAGACAATTATTTTCATTTATGAAGAAGAAAGGGAAACTGCTGAATGCAAAAGTTAGTCTGTATGGTGTCTTTACTCACCTTTGTCCTGTAATGCAATTTGTTGTTTATGCAGTAACGCCACCTCTCGTCCCAAAGCTTTCTTCTGTCTTTCCAGTTCATTTCGAAGCACCAAAATTCTTAAATGCAGGCACTCACTTTCTTTTTTCTAAATTAAAAAATAATTCAAAAGTAAATTTGCAAATATATTAAGTCACAACTACAAATAACTACATTCATAATATTTCAAAATGAGCAATCATTTAGCTCTTTAATATTCATCTAATTTCTCATTAGTAACTTAAAATCAGCACCTGTCATTTTAGTGGCAACACAGATGTAACAAGGAATAAGAGTAAAAAGAAATCTAAAATCTAAGGACAGTTCTTTCTAAGAACTCAAAAGACATTACAAAATAGCTCAGACCTCTTTTTTGACATCACAATTCAATAGGACAAAAAGAAATGGAAATTCTCAAAAAGCTAAATATCAAATACCATAGGAACCAGCAATGCCAACCCCAGGTATATGGACAACATGCTCACAGAACTAAACGCATATCTGAAACAAAAAGAAATAAAACATTTGGCAAAGAGATACATAGTCCTAATAAAGAAATAGAAGATATGTAAAGAAGTAGATATTTACTTAAAATTTACTGAAAATCACTGGAACAAAACTCAGTGAGTGAGCTCATCTATAGAACATAGAGAAAAGAATCTTAAACCTGGAAGATATAACAATAGGGACGGCCCAATCTAAACAACAGAAAGAAATAGACTAAAAAGTGTAAACAGTGCCTCCTGGTCATGAAACTACTGCAGGGAGGAAAAGGGAAGAAGTAGAAAAGTACTCACAGAAGTATTGGTTAAACATGTCTCAAATTAGGCAAAAGAAATATATGTACAAATTCAAGAAGTTAGTGAGCCATAAGGACAATAAATGCAGAAAATTATAAAATTAATGAGACAGAAAGCCAGTTCTTTGGAGCCAGGGGAAGGACTGCAATTACTAATATGGGGAATGAATGAGCAGTTGTCACAACTGCTCTTGTGGACATTAAGATGTTAAAGAATATTATAAATAACTCTATGCTCATAAATTCGATAGCTTTGGTCACATGGGCCCATTCTTTCAAAGATAATCTACCAAAACTCACACTAAGAGAAACAGATGTTTTGGAAAGCCTTTCCAAAACATAAAGTACAAACCCAGGTTTCACTGAAGGATCCTACCAAGCAGATAAATAAAAAATAAAAGAAGTCTTTAAAAAAGGAATCTAGAAGAACTTGCTAAATCATTCTATAAGACCAGCATACCCTTAACATAAAGACCAGTATCACTAGAAAGGAAAATTATAGATCAACATCTCTGCTTGGATGCAAAAATCTCCAACAAAAATATTAGCAAATCAAATCTAATAATGCAGAATTATACATCATGACCTAAAGACAGGTTAGTAATTCAGTAACTGATTAATATAATTCATCATGGTCATCAAGCAGGTTATACAAGAAAAATCTACATATATGACAAGATACTGAAAAAGCATATAACAAAATTGAACATCCATTATGATAAAAACGCTCAGCAAACTAGGAATAAAGAACAGCTTCCTCAATGTGGTGAAAAAAAAATTTGACAAAAATCCTAAATTAATATACCATTTAATAGTGACAAACCAGAGGCTTTCTCCCTAAGTTGGAGAATATGACAAGATGTCTTTCTTTTCACAACTCTATTAAAGATGTACTAAAAGTCCCAGTTACGCAATAAAACAAGAAAAAGAAATAAAGCTATAAAGGTTGGGGAAAAAATCTTTATTTACAAATGATATGACTGTCTATGTGGAAAATGCCTACAAAAAACACCCCAGAATAAAATGATTACTAAATGTAAATGATTACAGCAAGGTTGTATGATAGAGGGCTAATGCACAAAAGTCAATAGATTCTTATGTAACAACAACAACAACAAAAAACAACACTAGAATTTGAAATGAAAAATACACCATCAGTTATATTAATATAAAAAATTAAATACTTCAGTTGTAAACCTAACAAAACATATATAAGACCTATATTAAGAAAATTGCAAAACTTGATGAAAGAAATCAAAGGAAATCCAAAATTAATGAAAAGATTGTCCATGTTCATGGATAGCAAGACAATATTATTAAGATAACTTTTCACAACTTGATTTACAGATTCAGTGAAATTCCAACAAGTTACTTTATGGATATCAGAAAGTTAACTAGAAAGTTTATATAGAAAGGCAAAAACAAAAAACCCAGAATAACCTGCTCAGTACTAGAGAATAATTTGGAAGACTAACATTATCCAATTTCAACACTTATTTACTATATAGCTATAGTAATCAAGACAGTATGAGATGGGTAAAAGAATAGACACATCACAGAAAAGAATAGAGAGCAAGAATAGACAGATAGTCAACTGATCTAGACTTTTCACCAAACAGTACTGGAATCACTTGCAGGGGAAAATATTTTCAGTCCTTACATCCTTCACAAAGATTAAATCAGAATGGTTCATACATAAAAGTGAAATGAAAATGTATACATCTAGAAGATAACATTGAAGAAAATCTAAGTGACCTTGGATTTGGACATGATTTTTTAGATATAATATCAAAATGCATGATCTATGAAAGACAAAGTTAAGTTGACCTACATTGATATTAAAACTTTTGTACTATAGAAACTGCTAAGAGAAATGAAAAGTCAAACCACAAACTGGGAGAAAATATTTGAAAACTACTTATCTGATAAAGGAACAGTATAGAACTCTAAAATCCAACAATACAAAAACAACCCAATTTAAAAACATGCAAAAGACATGAACTGTTACATTACCAAAGAAGATTTATAGACGATAAATAAGAATACGAAAAGATGGGGGGGGGGGAGAAAAGAATAGGGAAAGATGTTCAACAACATGCCACTAAGGAATTGCAAATTAAAACTTAGATTGCACTTCATACCTACTGAAACTATTTTCAAAATAAAATAAAAACACAACACTTACAAAGATGTGGAACAATAGAAATTTCCATTCTTCATCGATGGCAATGCAAAATGATATAACTACTTCAAAAAACAGTCTGGCAATTCTTCTAAACTAAACATAGGTCCGCTATATGCTCAGCAGTTGTGCTCCCAGATACTTACTCATATAAGCTGAAAATTTAGTTCCACACACAAACCTACACATGAATGTCTATAACAACTTTATTCATAATTGCCAAAACTTGGGAGCAGACAAAATGTGCAAATAAACTGTGGTATATCTATACAACAAAGTATTTATTATTCAGCAATAAATAAGTAAGCTATCAAGCTATGAAAAAATATGGAAGAACCTAAAATGATTAGTGCTAAGTAAAAGAAGTCAATCTGAAAAGGCTACAAACTGTATGATTCCAACTATATGACATTCTGGAAAAGGCAAAAGCATGGAAAATGACTTTTGGCAGTTATGTGGAAAGTACTTTGTAGCTATCATTTCTCACCCAAAATGCTTTCTTCCTATCTCTGAAATGTTGATTCTAAACAGATGGCAAGATCATCTGTTAAAGACATTCATTCCAGCCAAAAAAACAAAGAAACGCCCCACCAAGCAGAAATGCTTATCTCCAATCATCATTTACTGTGTCTGCCTTGAAAATTTTATGAAGTGTCAAACATCCTAAGCAACTTTTCCTGAGCAATGCAAACAACTGTGAAGAGCCTACTAAGTGCTTCTAGATGAGTGAGAAATAGTATCTGCTCTCTAAGAGCATAGATCTAGTGGAGACAAACGTTACTTTGCCTTGCCAACTCCCTGTAAAAACAAAACCGAAAGTCAAGGAGATTGCTTATTAATAAAGAAAAGGGAACCAAGAAACAATGTGTTTCCAATAGTGTGATCACGAAGTCCTAGATGTTTTCACATCACTAAGGAAAAAATTATGTAAATTCTTAGAAAGATTTTTCCACAAAGAATTCAATTCTTTAAATTGAATTTTCCACAAAATATATAAACTTAATTCTACCTGGGCAGAAGAAAGAAGAAAAAAAAGAAAAGCTACTCTTCAGAGACCACAGGGATATGCGTGGGTAGTAAATTAGCCTGTACTATTCCAGGGGACAGCTCAAATTGGAATATGTTTTCTAAAATCAAAGAACTGAGAGTAGAAGTAAATCCAAATACTAATCTAAAAGTGAAAGGCATGTGTATGTTTTTGTTATGGTCTAATTGTGGAAACTGGCCCATTTACAGAAATATAGAAAGTCATTATAACCAGAATTGTTGGCTCTAATATATGATGAGTAGAGTGAACAAACCCTGTCCAAGTGAGATTTGATTCTGCTTCCTTATGTATCTAAGACAAGTGCTCAAAGAACTTAATGTTCTATTAAGTATGTTGCAATAGTCTTTTGTTAATGTCACATGTACATCACCAACAGATCAATTTTAGTTGGACTTTTTATACAAATTGAAAAAAATCACAGATACAAGCCATTTATTTGCAAGAACATACACTGCTAAAAGACAGTCATGGGCATGGTTAAAGACTCATTTCAGAATGATAAATTAACATATAAATAATATTTTAAAGGAAGCAATTTTCTTCTCATCATATGGGAGTTAAAGAGCCTCAAGGCAAAAGTTCTCAAAGTGTGATCCAAGAAAGCATAGTTCCAGAGACCATTTCAGAGTCTGTGACTTAAAAAATACTTTCATATTAACACTAAACTATGACCTCCCTTTTTCTTCAAAACTTCAGAGTAGAGTATTCCAGAGTCTGTAAGACTTGTGATATGACATAAGATTCTAGAAGTAACCATAAGAATATTTGTCTTTTATTAATGTAGGTATCATCAATAAAAACCACCTTAAGTTTTTTATGGTAATCACAATTTCTAAGAATGAAGTTTAGGGCAGTTTAGGGCATATTCGTTTATATTAGTTTTCCTACCAAAACTAGTTTTCCTACTGGAGATAATTAGCATACTGAAAAAAAGCTTTAGAACTATGGCAGTTGTCCTATTAGTACACAAATTTGCTTTTAAGTGTATTTGTAAGCTGTTGCTATTACATCTAGAACTATAAAACCATTAAGAAAGGGAAAATTTTCCTTAGAAAGTATTTAAACCAATCCACTAACTTC